TCAGGTGCCGATATTTTCGAAAGGATAATTACCTATTTCTTTGAAAGTGTCGATAATTTATTACACGTACTTACGAAAGTATCGACACTTTCAATATATCCGGTATCATTTTACCGGTTTTATCATTTTGATACCGGTTTTATCATATTTTTACCTGTTATATCATTGTGGATCGATATATATTTTTAAAGTATCGACACATTATAGGCGCTAAAACTGATTCTCTTTTAAATTCACAAAGTGTCGATCCTTATATAAAGTATCGACACTTTCAATATATCTGGTAATGTTTTACCAGTTTTATCATTTTGTTACCGGTTTTATCATATTTTTACCTGGTATATCTTTTTGGATCGATACATTTTTTAAAAGTATCGACACTTTATAGGATTTAAAACTGCTTCTCTTTTAAATTCACGAAGTGTCTATCCTTATATTAAAGTACCGACACTTTAAATGTATCTGGTAGCTCTTTACCGGTTTTATCATTTCAATACCGGTTTTGTCATAGTTTTACATGTTATATCGTTTTGGATCAACACATTTTTAATTTGGATCGACACGAACCGACAAGTTAAGTTTGCCGGTTGCATAATTTTTTAATATTTCTTCATGACTTAGACCTACTATATTATTATTAGTCAACATTTCCGGTAACGCTAAATCGAATTTATTAAATATCTTTTGATGTATCCGGTAACACCGTATATTAACCATATATTAATCTGTCTTTCGACAACCCGTAGTATATTAGTTACAGATTTGATTTGATTTGATTTGATTTTCAGTTTAGTTGGGGATGAGACGTTAAAAAGACAGGGAAGGGATAGAAACGCGGGTCAGAGACGCACGCTTCGAAACAAGTGGGTCCCGTTTTTATTCTTTTTACTCTTTCTAATTACATGTTTACTGTTCAGGGTTGAAACTGCAATAAAATAATTTGAGATGTGAAAAGAAAGCAACAATGGCATCTGGAAAGGTGATTCATAACACCACTTATATATATAATAGTGTCAATGATTATGTATTTTATTAAATTTATTAATATGGTGTTTTTACTTTTTAATTGTTTAATGTGTCTTATATTTTTATTTGGCATTATATTAAAATTAGTCTCCAACATTTATTAAAATAGTTATGTTGTCTCATATTCTTTTTTATAAAGTATTTTAGCTTCTAACATTTTATTTTAGAGCAAAAAAACTCATTTGTAGATAAAAATTGTTATTTAGCAAACGGTTAATGCATCAAAAAGGGGTTTTATCATAAAATGAAACGTTGGATGATAAAATGCTTCATAAAAAAGGAATAAGAGTCGAACTGACTATTCAATTAAATAGTTTGATCATTTTTGTCAAAAAATAAAACGTTGAGACCAAAATACTCCAAAAAAAAATAAATATTAAAATGATCATTTTGATAAACTTTATGACTAATTTTGACATTATACTTTTTTTTTATATTTTATCATGTTCTTTAAGGTTAATAACATTAATTGTTGTCATGACATAAATATGCGATATTATCATATGTTGTCATGTGACACTTTGAATCAAAAAAGTTAAAATGCAAGGTATTTAAGCATTATACTTCTCTGAATCTCTTTCGCAACACTTATCTTCGTTGCTACTTATGTGCCTATCAAAGCATTCAGAAAATCATCCTCTAGTTAAAACTCCTAGAAGAACAACTTCAGATATCAAAATATCTCAGGAGTTCCATATATCTCGAAAAAACGCAATTATTTAACATGATTTTTGGTAAGCTTATGTGATCTATCATATCCAAATTCATTATTTGGTTTACGAGAACTCATTTGCTAGTTAAAACTCTTGAAAGAACATTTCCAGATACTGAGGTAACGAGAACCTCATATATCTCGAAAAACCGTAACTTTTGTATATGACTTACTATAGGTTCACATGATCCGTCAGATCCAAATCTACTATCAACAACCATATTCATTAGTCTTGAGAATTTACAAGTAACATCATGATCTTAGGCCTAACATCAACGTTAAAGGGTGTGTTTGGTTGGGTGAATGTGAGATTCTCATGGGAATAGAATCCATATTCCCCCGTTTGGTTAGCCGGAAATGTCATTCATGGTAATCTTACATTACCAATAGTGTATTTTTTTGGTATATTACCGGGAATGTCATTACCTCCTTTCCTTAGGTATTGTTGGATTACCGGCGTTTTGGACTAAAATCCTTAATTTTTTTAAATATCATTATTCTGTCATTGAATAATAAAAATTTTACGAAGGTTAAATTACAAATTTATCCTTAAACTATTTTAGATTTACAAAAATCTATTAATTAAAATTTTATATAAGTTCAAGAGTTAAAATAAAATTTTACCATTTCATTAAACCTTTTTATATTTTTAATTTTGTAAAAAAATTATATAAATTTTATGAATTTAAATTTTTTAAAATATCTATATAAATATTTTCCAACTTGTTAAAAAATATATATAATAAGGAAATTTGGTCTAATATACATTCTAATAATCTTTTGTTCATTTAACCAAACACATAATCTTACATTTATGATAAACCAACCAAACACAAAATACAACATTCCCTAGTAATCTTTTATTCCCACTGATAATCTTACATTCCGTGAACCATTATAAAATCCCATGCAAGATTGAGAAGTTACTTCCTCTTTTTCTCCTCCTCCTTTATGGAGATAAAACATAATTCATCATTTACAGATCGATCATCATCATTAAATAACCACCTATAACTTTTCACTTAAATCAGAAAAGTTGAATCATCTATAGTGTTCATATCAGAAGAAAATAGTATGATTTTATATTGAATATTCAGTATGGAAATGAGGAGGATTACTTAAAAGAAGACAGCGTTGGGCTAATTTGTTTTGAGACTATGGTCGAACAAGCCCGTTTGCTCCAATCGTCTACCCTTTGTAGGCCTACTTAAAAAGTCTACAAAAACAAGTTTCTGATTTGCTCATCTACATCAATCAACCGTAGTCGGCCCTAAATAATTACTACATGCAGTAAATCACTCGATACTTTAGCCAACAGCCAATTTAAGCATAAAAAACGATCAGTAGGCATCTTTTGTTTCTTTTTACCCTGAAATGGAAACTTGCATGAGATGGAACTGGCAAAATGGGCATTCACTGGTGAATTTAATCCCAGTCACGGTCTCATGTACCTTTGGCACTCGTGATATCTCTTTATGCTATTTTGTGTTCTTTTTCCTTTTCTTTTTGTTTTTATTCGTCATACATTTTATTTAGGGAAAACATAAACAAACAAGACAATGTTATAAGGTGGTGTTGCTAAAATAAATAAATGAATAATATATAAGAACTTAACGTATAAAAAATCAATATATAATTTCATTCATCTACGCATTGGAGAAGAGCTTTAGTTAAAGTTGGATAAATTCAAATAATAAAATAGTAAAATAATCTAATTTGATTTGGACCAAATCGATTTAAAGTTAAAAGATGGTTCAATTCTGAGATTTTATGCAAAAGTTAAAAAAATAAAATAACATATTCTTATAATTTTCCTCTTTTCTTTTAAAGAAAAAGATTTACCGTGAAGTCACGTGAGCCTAAGCATCCATTACAAGTCAAAACAATATTCATGTACTTATTACGTACAATGTAACAACGTACCGGTCACATGATGTACTGTCCAAAACAGTGGCAACTGCCAACTTGCGAGGGTTCGTCTCTCAAAACTTCTCCACGCGCCGTAATAACACGCGATTCACGTGCGGAAACGAAAAACTATAGAATTGTTACAAAGGCGTAATGAAAAAAAAACAAACGTTTGATTAAATAGTTAATTTAATTTATATTTTTGTGATATTTTGACCATTAACATTTTATTTTAAAGTAAAAAAATACCTTTATGAATATAAATCATTAGTTAATAAATGACTAACGGTCTAAATAAATGTTTTTCCCCTTAAAATAAAACATTAAAGACCAAAATACTAAAAAAAAATAAGAGCAAAATTGATACCTTGGTAAAATGAAAGGTTAGAGACAAAATATTCTAAAAATATATATAGGTCAAATTGACTATTTTAATAAACATTAAGGTTTAATTTTGATATTATACCTTGTAAAAATAATAATTTGGATCGTTTTTAAATGTAACGAACTAAAATCTACTGTGTTATAGTACAGGGATCTCAACAGTATTTTCACCTCAAACATTTGGTTGAAAAACTATAGTAAAGAACGAAGCCGATATATCATCCCAAAATCCCTCATGTGAGTTACAGAATGGACAGAAAAACAGGGCCAAAATCTCGATTAACGATATCTTATTAAAAGGATAAAGTATACCATAGGTCCTTAAACTATGATAAATAATATTTTAATCACTGAATTTTAAAAATTTAAAATAACCATTATATTTATTGAAAGATTAGTATAAAATACTCATTAAATTTTATCGATCTACTATGGAATGATTATAAATTTTACCAAACTTTTACAAGATGATCATTAAAAGTATCAAATTTTTACGATTATTATAATATTGCAATAACCATTTTGTAATAGTTTGATACATTTACCGACCATTTTATAGTTTTTAAAATTTAAATAACCAAAATGATTATTTGAGTATAATTTAATGACCTCTAATGCATGTTTACCTTTTAGTCATTTACATTTTATCAAATCAAAACTTACACTTTTCATCAAGAATTCCCATAACGGATCAGAATTCCTTTCTCTCTTTAAAAAGTATTATTCATTTGAAAAATACTTTCTTGGATTTGACAAGGAAAACAAAGTTTTAGAACGCTATTTAATCATTAGTGCATCTTAATCTATTTTCCCATTACGGGACAGCACAAAGCATCAACGTTGTGAATGCAAAACGAAACAGAACAAGCTTCAAACATGTTTTCATGGTGAAACAAATATTGTAGCAGACACAGTTTTAAGTTGTCTGAAATTCAGCAGAGAAGGGTATCGAAAAAATGATCCGTAAGGTGTTTTTCGTTGTTGGTTTCTTGATTTATTGGCATTGTTTTTCGTCGATTTCGATTCGGGTTTCGGCACAACCCGTCTTTGCTTGTGATGCCACGAAGGATCCGAAGGTTGTGCATTACGACTTTTGTAATGTGTCGTTGGGGAGGGATGCGAGGGTGGCCGATTTGGTACGGAGGCTAACGTTGCAGGAGAAAATCAAGTTCATGGTCAATAGTGCCGGTAATGTTAGTCGGCTCGGGATACCACGATACGAGTGGTGGTCCGAGGCACTTCACGGGGTCTCCTACGTCGGTCCCGGCACCAAGTTTAGCAGCCTGGTACCGGGAGCGACGAGTTTTCCTCAGGTCATATTGACCGCGGCTTCATTCAATGTTTCGCTCTTCGAAACAATCGGCAAGGTAGTAAAGTCACATAGGATTCAACGGCTTATTGATTTTTATTTATTGCAGAGATTTAATTTATTTATTGTACTCATTTGCAGGTGGTCTCAACGGAAGCTAGAGCAATGTACAACGTTGGATTGGCGGGGTTAACATTTTGGTCACCAAACATCAACATATTTCGTGACCCAAGATGGGGCAGGGGACAAGAGACTCCAGGGGAGGATCCATTGCTGAGCAGCAAATACGGATCGAATTATGTCCGAGGTTTACAACGAGCCGACGATCATGCTGACCCTTTTCGACTCAAGGTCGCCGCGTGCTGTAAACACTACACGGCCTATGATTTGGATAACTGGAAAGGGGTCGATCGCTACCATTTTAATGCTGTGGTAATAACATGAATCTAATCTGGTATAATCGGTCTCGGACCTATGTTAGTATGTACACCTCTAATGGCTTGTGATTGATTGTGGACGGACAGGTAACGCGACAAGATATGGACGATACATTTCAACCACCGTTCAAGAGCTGTGTCATCGACGGGAATGTGGCGAGTGTTATGTGTTCTTACAATCAGGTTAACGGTAAGCCAACTTGTGCAGACCCTAATCTTCTTGCTGGTGTTATTCGAGGCCAATGGAAATTAAATGGGTACATTTTCGTTTCTCTAGTGATTTTCTTTTAGCTCGAAGTTTTCTGGCCATCGTGTCGTCTTACGAGGCTCCGTCTTTGGTTGGTGTAGGTATATAGTTTCCGATTGCGACTCAGTGGAGGTCTTCTTCAATGACCAGCACTATACCAAGACACCAGAAGCAGCTGCTGCCAAAGCAATTTCGGCAGGTCAGTATGCTTTAAAGAAACTGAAACATTTATGCTCGCAAATTGTTCCCAATCGGCCAGTAATTGCTAAATATGTCTAATGGTTTTCAGGGTTGGATCTCAACTGTGGATCATTCCTCGGCAACCACACCGCAGCCGCGGTGAAAGCAGGGCTATTGAAAGAATCTGCCATCGACAATGCCGTCGCTAATAATTTTGCTACTCTAATGCGACTTGGCTTCTTCGATGGCGATCCTCGGAAGCAACCTTACGGAAAGCTTGGCCCGAAAGACGTGTGTACTCCGGAGCATCAAGAGTTGGCTCGTGAAGCTGCGAGACAAGGGATTGTGTTGCTCAAGAACCGTGCTGGATCGTTGCCTCTGTCTCCCACTGCTATCAAAACCTTGGCAGTAATTGGACCCAATGCCAATGTCACAAAAACCATGATCGGAAACTACGAGGGTAACCCGACATAGTACTCGAGATTTATCTTACCCGAACTCTTCATTTTCTTTACAATTTCTCTGTTTGACATAAATATATATTCATATCGGACACTTACCCTCTAAATTCGAGTAACATTGCAGGCGTTCCATGCAAATATACGACACCATTGCAGGGTCTAACAGCTTCAGTAGAAACAAAATATGTGCCAGGCTGCTCCAATGTGGCTTGCGGAACTGCCCAAGTAAACGCCGCCATGAAAATAGCCGCCATGGCCGATGCCACCGTGCTCGTGATGGGCATCGATCAATCTCTCGAAAGAGAAGGCTTTGACAGAGTCGACCTTCTTTTGCCGGGGCAGCAATCACTTCTTATAAATGAAGTTGCAAAGGTCGCCAAGGGACCTGTGATCCTTGTCATAATGTCGGGCGGAAGCTTCGATGTGGCGTTCGCCAAAAACAACGACAAGATTACAAGCATCCTTTGGGTTGGTTACCCTGGTGAAGCTGGTGGAGCTGCCATTGCTGATGTGATTTTTGGGTATTATAATCCAAGTAAGTCTTTCACCATTTAGAGGTGTGCATGAGTTGGGTTTAGTAAGACCGGATTCGGGTTGAACACATATATAATATCAACATCATTTATATTTGTCTAAGATTATCTGACTCAAATTGAACTGAATCATTGATTATAGGTGGAAGGTTGCCAATGACATGGTATCCACAATCATATCTTCAAAACGTCCCAATGACAAACATGAACATGAGACCAGACCCTTCCAAAGGGTACCCTGGAAGAACCTACAGATTCTACACAGGGAAAACGGTTTATACATTCGGAGATGGGCTAAGCTACTCCAAATTCAGCCATAAACTAGTTCAAGCACCTCAACTGTTGTTGTTCCCATTGGACGAAGACCACATTTGTCGTCGCTCGTCGGACTGTAACTCCATCGAGGTCGCTGAACGACGTTGTGAAAACTTATCGTTTGACGTACATTTGAGGGTTCGAAACATGGGAAGATTCGATGGAAGCCACACGGTGTTGTTGTTTGCAACTACCCCGACAGTGCACAATTCGCCTCGGAAACATCTGGTGGGGTTCGAGAAAGTTTCGTTGAGAGGCAGATCGGAGGCGTTGGTGAGATTTAAAGTGGATGTTTGCAAGGATTTGAGTGTTGTTGATGAGCTTGGCGGCAGAAAGGTTGCATTGGGACAATATGTATTGCATGTGGGGAACTTGAAACATACATTAAGCTTGAGGTTTTGAAATATCCTCACTTCTTTTATTTTATTTTTTTACTCTCTTCCATTTTTCTTCTCTAAAATAAGTTGAATTTTGTCATATGTATTTATGGTATGCTATTTATATTAATATCATTATACATTTTAAGTTTTATGATTAAATTAATATTTTAAGACTTTAGATTGTAATTTTAACTTATTAATATAAAATATTTGACATAATTCAACAGTAATAATATAATTATTTTTTATATATTTAAAAATAAATATTATATCAATTTACATTACAAATATATGTATATATATATTTATGTTAGGTCAAATATAAAATTTTATCTGAAAAATAATGTTAATTTTGAAGTGGGATGAATTTTTTAAATCTAAATCAAATAAAAGAATTTTATATTAAAATCTAATTTAGACGGAATAAAAATCCAGTCGAACTCATTACCATCACTGCATAAGTGGTAATACTGAAGTGGATAAGGCAATGGCCTTGAAAACTCGAAAGATGAGTGGCCAATCCACACAACAACAACAACAGCCTCATCTAATCCAAAACGAAAACCAATGCCTCTCACTCTCCGGCCGCCATCTTCAACATTCTCTTTCCTCTCTCCGGCTGCCAAACCCACCGCAACCTACCGTTTCTATACCATTCCTCGTGCCTCCACCCAACTCGCCCTCAATCCTCCGTCCGTCATCAAAACAGCTCCGGTCATCGTAGTCGGCGCCGGCCTCGCGGGTCTCGCAGCCGCCACCCTTCTCAACTCAGACAACATCCCTTTCCTCCTCTTGGAAGCCTCCGATGGCGTCGGTGTCGAACCGATGCTGTCGATGGCTTTCTCTTAGATCGTGGCTTCCAGATCTTCATCACTGCCTACCCAGAAGCTGAAAAGGTATTAAATTACAGTGCTTTAAATCTCCAGAAGTTTTATTCCGGTGCCAGAGTTTACTACGGCGGTGAATTCCACACCGTCGCTGATCCTTTGCGCCATTTCTCGGACTCCGTTTTGTCCCTTGGAAACCCCATTGGAACTGTTTTTGATAAGCTTCTTATCGCTTTGACGAGGGCTCGGGTTTTGAGTAAATCCGACGAGGAAATTTTGAAAGCCGATGAAGTTCCGACGATTCAATTGTTGAAGAGTATTGGGTTTTCGGATTCGATAATCGGAAGGTTTTTTAGACCCTTTTTTGGTGGGATTTTTTTCAACCCGGAGCTCGAAACTACTTCGAGACTCTTCGATTTCATCTTCAAAGTTCTCGCTCTCGGCGACAATACCCTTCCGGCGAACGGAATCGGCGAGATACCAAACCAATTGGCGGCAAAACTTCCGTCCGATTCAATTATGTTAAACACCGAAGTTGTCTCCGTTGATTTTAACGACTCGAATTCGCCGTCGGTGACTTTAGAGAGCGGCGAAACCGTGAAGAGTGAGCTAGGGGTGATAATGGCTGTTGAAGAACCGGCACGTGATAAGATTTTGGCGGGAAGGACGACGTGGGTTCAGAAGAAAAAACCGGACCGGAGTACGGTTTGCTTGTATTTTTCATTGGACCGGGATCAAATTCCGGTTCGAGACCCGGTCCTATTTCTCAACGGTTCGGGCGAAGGGATCATCAATAACATGTTTTTCGCTACGAATGTGGCTCCATCTTATGGCCCTTCAAACAAAGCGTTGGCATCGGTATCGTTGATCGGGTTGTATGAGAACGACTCAGATGATGATCTAAGAGCCAAGGTTATCAAGGAGCTTTCGTGTTGGTTCGGAGCTTCAAAAGTCGAGTCATGGCAGCATTTGAGAACATATCGAATCGGTTTTACCCAACCGAATCAATCCCCACCGACGGATTTGATGAAGAATCCCAATATCGGATCTGCCTTGTATTTGTGTGGTGATTATGTGACTTCGGCTACCTTCGATGGAGCTCTGGTTTCCGGTAGAAGAGCGGTTGAGGCTTTGTTGAAAGACCGAGCATTGGCTCCGGTTTAAAACCCATTATAGATTTCCGGTTTAGTTGAAAAGTGGATTTTCTTTCATTAATTATTAATTAGTCGTTAAGTCTTATAATAAACCTATGTGATATTCAATTCAAATTTTTGCTTCTCGAGTTATTTGATGCTCCTACGGGACGAAATCCATATGGCTAAAAGGTTTGTAATTTGGATTCCATAAGAAAGAAGTGTAAATATAATTTGGGTAAAATGCACAAATGTGGTCTCGATTATAGGATACTGCTTTGTTGAGTCTTTCGACTATTAAAAGTTACAAAATAGTTCTCTGATTATAGAACATTGTTTTTTTGAATCTCTCGACTATTAAAAGTTACAAAATGGTCATTCAATTATTCATATGTTCTAAATTCATTATTTTCCGTTAAAAAATTGATAGTCGTCTGAACTGGACGTTAACCTGCTGATCAAGACATGATAAAATCTGATCCCAACACTGTTTGAGCTATATGGTTGTTTGAGATTCTAGGATCATATTTTATCGAATCTCAATCAGCAGATTAACGTTCATCTTAGATTTGCGTCAGTTTTTTAACAAAAAAGGACAAGTTTGGAATATATCAATAGTTAGGTGGCCATTTTATAACTTTTAAGATTCGAGAGACTAAAAAACAACACTCTATAGTTAGAGGATCATTTTGTAACTTTTAATAGTAAGAGACTCAACAAAATAGTACTCTATAGGTAGGGGACCATTTGTGTACTTTACCCATATATTTTTTATTATCAAATGTAAATATTATGTATTATTGTAAGAATAATTTGAATATGATGTATTAAAAAATAATCTTATTAAATTTTAGTGACAATTAATTTTTATATGATAAATCTAAAATGTTCATGCAGTATGTGCACGAGTTTAAAATTTAATTCAAATTTTTTAAATATATTCCAAGTCATATCTGAGTATATATTTAATGCTTAAATAATTTATAGTTTGAATATTAATTTAAAATATTTCAAAGTTTGGAGATTAATATAGACTCTAATCATAATTTAGAGACATTGGGTGTAATTAACTTTTTCTATTTTCATTTCCAAAAAATAATTTAGTTTCAAATTTTTCAAAAATTTAAAAACATATTTGGTTAATAAAAACAAAAATTTATATGTAGAGATATAACAAGTATGTGTTTAATATCTGATCTTTTTAAAATACAAATGAATAAATGATTAAGTAATTTCAAATATATTTAAGTATTTTTATTTTTTAATTCATTTTTAAGATTTAATGCTTGATTTGATTCTTAAACTATATCCTTTTCTCACTTTGTCCCTTTTACTTTTAACATTTTTTATTAATCTGGGGTAAGTACAAGGCCGTGTAACACCCCCAACTCGTATCCGACCCGAATACGAATCCGAAGTATCACATTGACTATTGAAAACTTTTACAATAGAAAAATAATGAAAATTTTGAATTTTAATTTACCTTAAGTTAATAATTTACATTAATATGTCCAAAACATTATAAAATCGATCAGAGCGTATACAATTCACTTATTTTTTTTACATGCCAACACCTTTATTACAACAAAATACATGCTGTGTAATTTACTTCTGATTTGATCTTCGAGTGAAGATATGTTGTTCTGTTGAACTTAACTTGGATCCTTCTGCTTCTCAGTACATACGTGTAAGTCGCTTACACACTAAGTCATAGACTTATTGAGGCATATAAAAATAATGATGATGTATTCCTTATGAATATAAACATGCAATCTATTAATTCAACCATGTCACATATGATTCAGTGTAAACAATAATACCATGATAACATATAACAATAATAATGCAAATACCTTTGATAACCTTTTATAGGCCCATGTACATTACAGAGAACTTAAGGTATGTGAATACATTGAGGTTGTGCACAATTATGCTGTCACCACAACTCGTATAAATGTCCCGAAGGACTGGTCCATAGGTCTCGAATAACCTAGGTAATTGTCCATATGTTCAGAAGAACATAGGTATCTGTCCATATGTCCCGAAGAACATAGGTATCTGTCCATATGTCCTGAAGAACATAGATAACCCTCGACTCTTGGCATACCAACTATACCTATAACTCTCATATCATATATCATGGGAACTATCATTATGCTTCATATATTCATGTATTCATATCATTGCTCTTATGATCACATATTTTGTAACATCCCAAACTATGAGTTAGTGACTAAATTATAAAATTTCAGAATTTGGTAATTAAATTAGAATAGTTGAATAGTTCAATGATTTATTTGGGAATATTTTCGGAAAGTTTTTAGTAATTATTCAAGGAATTAAAGGGCAAAATGGTCAATTGACATTAAAGATATTTTTATCCCCTTTAATATGAGATAAAAAGGGAGATAAAAACGTGGAAGATGAAAACATTTTATCATTTTCTTCTTTCATCTTCTTCCTCCCATATCTCCCAAGCTTAAAGGTAAGTTTCTGATTTCTTGGTTACTTGCTGTTTTAAAAGTTGAGTTATGATCACTAGATGATAATTAAGCTTAAGGAAAGCTTAATTTGTTCTAAAATAACAAGATGAAAGGTATATGAGGGATTAAAGATTTTGAGTTTTTGAATGAAATCTTGGAATAGAATTTATAATTAGAAGTGGAAGTCAAATGACTTGTCATAAGTGAAATTAAGAAGTATGAAGTATTAGAATTGAATTTAAAACATGTAGAAATTTGGTATGATTCTTAATTTTAAGAATCATAATGAGATATGGAAGATAAAAATGATTTATATGAATATAAGTTGGTTTAAGTGATGGTAGTTGAGTTTAATGGTATGATAGGGGCTTAAAATAGAAGAATGAGAGAAGAAATGATGATTTTCGGGTTGAAACAATAAAATTGTAGGTTTTCTAGATTACGTAGGGGGTACAGATTCCCCCATGGGGGTATCGATTCCCCCTAAATAAAAAAAATAGAATTTTGGTTTATTAAACTGGCTTAAGTTATCAACATCAAGTTTAAGGTTTAGGCTTCTGATAGTTGTTTTGAAATGTT